CAAAGACGAGTAAAATATACACAGTGTGAACTTCGAAATTTGGCCATGTTTGATGCCGCGTGTCTTGAATTTGGTACTTACCAGGATATTTGCTGCGATTTCAACGCAACGCCACAAAAATATGCCTAGTATATGCTGCAGTTTCCGCATTTACTATTCCTTCGACCCGATTGGTTGAACTACTCTTATGGTTAGATAAACCACTGCTAAAAACCCTACGACTTGGTTCGGGAAACGTCATGGCACTTCTTTTGTTCTTTTCGGATGTATCCATAACGATTTCCCATGGGCAGTTTCACTGTGGGAATAGAGGTCACACACAAAACACAGACTTTCCGTGGGTAAGGTCTCACTTTCCCTTGGGCAAAAGGCCTAGTGTAACCGCAACTACTTGTATTAATATATTAAACGTACTCGTAGCGAATATCTCTTAGAATGCTCTTAAATGTTCAGTAGACGTCACTGACAACCATGATATAATGACACCCGTTGATTTACATATTTTAAATTAAAACTAATTCGCAGCTGCCATAAACAGATGCGTATATTGCCTAAACAAAAATTGGTTGAAAGTAAGCAAAATGATTCCTCGCCTTATGTCACATACTCAAGGCCATGATGGTACTTTCTGTACGTTTTCTGGAAAATGGTTTTCCCCAACACGTTGCCCCAGACCAAGAGTTAATTTTTAAATGCAGCTGTCCGCTGTATGTTTTGTAAGGGAATTTGACGTGTCCGATCTGCTTAGCGAGCAGTAAACTTGCAAATCAGTGGTTCAAGTTTACCTTAATTGTAAAGAAATGTTTTATGACTACAGCGAAAGAAATCATCTTTAACGATTCCACAGAAATAATACAGAAGCCAGGGAAAGTTTCGATGACTTGTTTAAGACCTGTATATAAGCTTAAAATAACGAGAAAAAAATATGCGGTTGAGATGCAATTAAAATATCTGTTGTAGCGTTTTCAATCTGCACAAAGAGCTGAAAAGAAAGGCCTTCTTGGCTTGTTTATTAACAAATTTAGCGTGGACAGAGATTGAAGAAAATTTGAGTTACGATCAAACTGAGCGAAACAAACCAGATTGCTACTAGTATTTTTTTTTTCTGGAGGAAAGGGTTTTCTGTTTGTTCTACCCTAATACTGGTTACTAGTACATTATTCTCTAATTTACACAGCCAGAGATAAGCTTGCCACGAAAATAGATTCTTGGCCATGCACTGACGGCGAGAAACTTTTCGAATAAGGTAAACATTTGCTGAGACACAATACACAGAACCACGGTTACGCGCTAGTGACTCAAGAGACAGAGCATTCACAGAGTCCTCTTATTCGCATAAAGCTACGACAACTCGTCAAAATGAGCGTATTCCTTCAAGTTTGTATCACCCCTTTATTCCTTCCGCTGACCGTAAATGGAGACAAATCCTCGTCTCCACGTTGCACCTACCATACGACAAAATGGTGTCCATCAATTCTCAAAACATTTCGACGTTCGATATACCATAAGAACAATACACTTTTATACATTTTTCGGCACAATTCAAGGAGGCAAGAATCAATAAGAAATTGCTCATTAATATAGCTTAGACAGGCTGTCCAGCAGCTTGTTTGTATTGATATCTTCACTTTCTCTCAAGCCAAAAGTGCTCTTGTAAACAATCATACATTATTTCAAATTCTCACCCAAATTATGAGTAATTAGTCATCAGCTTATAGAAGACTTAAGTCAGAAATTAACGGCATTTGTGTTCAAAATTAAATAATTCGCATCAAGATAGAGCCAGTTCGCTTGCTGTATCTGGAAAAGGTTTTTTCCAGACCGACAGATAATATCTTTATTCTTAAACGCCATCAGCTGTAGATTTCGTAAAGGAACTGACGTTTGCTCGACATAGCGGGCAGTAAATTTGCAAAGCTATGCTTGAAGTTTAATTAGATTGAAAATAATGCCAAAATATTCTATGAAAACCGTGGAAGAAGACTTCTTTAATGACTCGATAAAAATGGTACAGTCACGAACGAAAGTTTTCGATGAATTTGCTCTCTGGCTGGTTTCAGAATAGCCATCCCTCAGAATTAGGTTAAAAATAACGAGACAAAGTCCCCGAGGCTAAAGAGCAATTATCGTAAGTCTTTCTTTGTTGTAGTTTCAGTGCGTGCGAGCGAGGAGCTGAAAAAAAACGCTTTTTTACCCCGTGTTCAGTCGTTAACAACTTTATAATCGACAGAGATTGAGGATATTTGATTTGACGATCAAAACTGATCAAGCTTGAGTCAAGGGGAGGAAACAAATTGCTATTGATCCAAAATTCTTTAGAGGGCAACGGAGTGTCTGTTTGCTCAAACCTACGTCTGGCTTACTAGCGGACTCGTACATTCACTCAACCGGGAACAAGAAAGCATCAAGTATTAATCTTAAAAGATAAGAAAATTCATGAGAAAATAAAACAGAATTGAATTAAATCAAACGAAAAAGAAAACTTCATCATAATCACGGAAGCTACGAATTTACCACCGGCTTAAACTTGGAACAAAATCATTGGCCTTTGTTGCTAACAGCAAGAAAATTTTCGAGTCCGGTAAACATTAGTTGAGACACAATACACAGGGTCACGGTTATACGCTAGTGACTCAGATCTAGAAGAGACAAAACAATTGCGTGGTCCTCTTATTCGCATAAAGCTACGATAACTCCTCAAAATGAGCGTATTCCTTCAAGTTTCTATCACCGCTTTATTCCTTCCGCTGACAAATCCTCTTCCCCAGCTTGTGTTAAGAAATATTCAAATAAATCGCAATAAAGATGACTTTTTCTGTGTTAACACAACCTCGACTTGACACTTTAAGTGTTACCAAAATTTCAATAGCAATTCCGTGAAATCCATGGCTGTCACATTTATTATTTACACGGTTGTTTCCAATTCTCCCGACTCCCCTCGTCTTGAGAAATGAAAAGGAAATTGTCAGTAAATTCAAAAGGCGTTTTTGATTTGTAATGGTGCATTTGTTTGTGATTCGGCGCCGTAAAACCGTCATCTTCTGTTTCTTTCCTACTAGTTAACATTTTTTTTTGTTTGTTTCAGTCACACTAACTCCATTTTTCTTTCTCTTTCTACAAAATACTCTTTTGTGAATTAATGCCGTTGCCGCAGAGAAGTGTGATTACACGTCACTCGCCACATCTAAACGAATTAATTGTTTTCACGATAAAACACCTCACTTAGCACAGGAAAAGATGTGGATGCTTTTGCTGATGAACTGAATCAAAGGTTTTAGAGGCTAGTCTATAAACTCCTCGTATCGACCTTTTTTTTTTTAAATGCTTCACTGAAAATGTTTTGTGGATCCAACTAACAGCTAACAGTAAGAGTTTGTTTACAAATCAACTCACGAAGGCGAGAAACAGATCTGTTGTTTACCGCTAAACCTTTGTTTCAACTAAAAAAGATGTTTCCTCTCTTTGGAATATCGCGTGATGCCACTACTCAAGACCATGAGCGCACATTCTCATAACACGGAGCCCCCAACCGATAGATAATACGTATACGCATCATGGCAGTCTGCTGCAGATTCTGTACAGGAATTTTGCGTGTCAAGGGCTTAGCGGGCAGTAAATTGCAAATCAGTTGTTGAGATTTACTTAAAAATTGCATATAGTAACGCAATCTTTTATGAATACCGTGAAAAAAATCATCTTTGATGATTAGGAAGAGATTGTCTGTTTCCTTAACACTAAGACTGGATTATTGGTACAATCTTTAATTTACTCCCGGGATAAGCAACCTATCAAAATAGACTCTTGGTGTATGGAAATTAAAGAAAAAAATCGAGCAAAAGAAAAAACTTGTTCAAAATTATGGAGGCTAAGATTTCACTGGTAGCTTAAACTTGGAACAAGGTCATTGGATTGCCACGGATAGCAAGAATTTACGAGTTGGGTAAACATTTGTTAAGACTCATTACAAAGAGACACGGTCTACGTTAGCAACTCAGATGCGAAAAAAGATTTACTAAGTCCCCTTGTGCGCAGAAAGCTACGACAACTCGTCAAAATGAGCGTATTCCTTCAAGTATGTATCACCGCTTTATTCCTTCCGCTGACCGTAAATGGAGACAGATCCTCGTCCCCAGCTTGCGCCAAACCATTCGACAAAATGACGGCTTGTAATCTTATTTGTAACATGATTCAAGACTCGGACGCCAACAATGCCATGAAAATGCTGCAAACCAAACTCCAAGATCTTATTGCAGCGATAAAGAATCCTTCCCCTTTACAGCCAGGTAGTTTAAGCAGACGTGAGTCTTCGATATGCAAGCTATAAAATGAGAATGCGTGATTGATTTGAAGTACACAAATAACGCGCGTGATTGAATCGGAACAATCGAATAGGGTGCTCGTTTCTGTGTTAAAAACCTGGTTACTTCTTCGTACGCTGGTAAAAACGTTTGAGAATGATAAAAACTATTTTTAAAATATTAACAGCAAGTACTTTTCATACCCAATAGCCTCTTCGTGCAAAGAACACTTCGAAAAACACAAGTAAGTGATCAGATTGAAATCATCATCAATAATGCTAATCTATCCTACCGTGTAATATTTAAGAAAACTAGACATGCACCACTAGTTTTTTACAATGGTGTTTAAGACTTCTAATGACACTAATATTTCGGTTGTCCACAGATGGACAAAGAGCCAAGTGTACCCACTGGTGTTTGGTTCACAATACGTTCCTGTTTACTGCCACATGGGAGACTTTGGATGCGGAGATGGAGGATGGACGCTGGCCATGAAGATTGACGGCAGGAAGGTATGCAGCTTTTCTCTCAGAGAACACCACTCCGCTTGACTATTATATGATTAACTCTTTATTTTCCTTGAAATTTCAGAGAAGCTTCCACTACGATTCCAAGTTTTGGAGCGACAAAAGTGTCTACAACCTTCCAGGAGGAAAGACTGGCTTTGACTCACAAGAGAC